GATTAACCCATTTACAAATTTTGTCAGTTGTAAAACAAGCCGCCGGCTGATTGTTTGCACGCAATTACCTTACAGCCGATGGCCATTGTATTTTATTTTTCAACGAGAGTTTCCAACGGAAAATAAAATAACGCGGAACGTTTTTGCATCTTGTGTAGAAATATATTTCAGGATTAATCTGCCTAACCATTTTTTTTTAATGTATCAATACATGGGAGAAAATATTAGATAGAAAGATAACTTTATGTGTCTACATTTGCATCTTTAATGTTATATCGCATTTAAGAATTGTCATTTGTCTATTTCTCTATAAAATTATACTTAATAATATATATTTTTTTTATTCATCTTTTTAATAAATAAAAGTGTTTAAAAGCATAAATTTTTTCTGTTCCAAATTCCAAACATGCATCGTGAAATAAGAATTTTGGTAAACTATTTGCCAGCCATGTATTTATATGTATATTAGATTTTATATATCATACATAAAAATGATTACGTTCTGTTCTGCCTTTATGATCATTCTAATATCTTAAATATTAATTAAATAATAAATTGAATATTTCTTAAGTTTTATACTGTTACACAACAAAGTTTTCAGTCACAATATTATATGAAAAAAAATTTAATATTATTTCGCAATTAAAACTAAAATAATTAACACAATTAGAGACATGGTGTAATCAAACAATTAAATAAATTTTACGAGGGCTGAAAAATTGGAGAGACTATTTGAGTAATGCTTCTTGACAGTCGGGAGTATCTTCAATATTTATATGTATTTATATGTATATTAGATTTTCATTACATAAGTGATTACGTTCGAACACCTGCCCGACGCTCCTGGCCGACCATCCGCCGGGCGCGTGATATCCCTCCGGCGGGATGCCCAACACGTGACAGTAAGCACGTGGGGGGACCGCACCGGTATATAAGCCGGCTCGTCGAAGAGCCGGCACCAGTCCTGTCCTGAATCCTGATCCTGACACAAAGCCTCTGGGTGTACTCGAGGCTTCAAGACCAAGATTCCTGACAGTCGACGAAGACGGGTGTACCCTCTTCGCTGCCTGGGAGTTCCGGCGTTCGACTTCCTTCTCTCCAACCGACGGAGGTGGGTTTAACCTTCGCTGCCTGGGAGTACCCGGCGTTCGGTTCCTTCCCTCCAACCGACGGAGGTGGGTTTAACCCCTTCGCTGCCTGGGAGTACCCGGCGTTCGGTTCCTTTCTCTACGACCGACGAAGGTGGGTTTAACCCCTTCGTTGCCTGGGAGTGCCCGGCATTCGGTCTCCTGTGTCCGGCCGACGGAGGTGGGTTTGACCCCTTCGCTGCCTGGGGTACCGGCATTCGGCTCCTTCTCTCGGTCGGCAGAGGCGGGCGTGCCCCTCTGACGCCAGGGTGTACCCGGCATCCGACTCTCCCGCAGCGCGCCGTGCCGCCGCCCGCGGCCCCGCAAACGCGAGATCGTTCGTCCGTCCGCGCATTATATATAAGTTTGTGTGACTGTCCGCTAGACTAAGTGTATATATCAAGTGTAAGTAATCATTGAATAAACCTTTTGTGACTTTGAAACCGTGTACGCAAGTTTGGCCTTCCGATTCCGAATCCTGGTTCCGGCGAGCCGTCCGAGGCTAACCGAAATCCGCACCGTTACATGGCGCCCGAACAGGGACACTGACGACGGTAGGCCCAGCTCGCGTATCACCGAATGAGCAGTGCGTGGGTGCATTCGCTCACCAAAGACCAGATCCTCCAGGAGCTGGAGCAACGCCACCTTGACTCGACCGCCCCGCTGGACACGCTGAGGAAACGCCTGCGAAGACACATGAGTAAGTATCCAGAAAGCATGCCGGGACTAGCACACAGCAGAAGCCCGTCAACTTGATCCCACCGACCATCATCATACAGGGGTCGACCAGATGTCCGACGAGGATGATAGTGGTAGCGAGAACACGGTAAGCCGTCGACCGTCTCGACCCCACCAAGATCTGCCGGCACTCGACCGAATGAAAACAATGAACCAGATTCGAAAGTGGGGTCACTTCTTCGATGGCAAAGATCCCCTTGCCTTTCTGGAGCGAACGGAGGAACTCCGAGCCAGCTACGGCCTCGACCCCGTCCAGCTAATCACCGGACTTCCGGAACTACTACGGGGCGACGCCCTACTCTGGTATCGGAACCATAACGAGGAATGGGATACCTGGGAACAATTTACTCAGGCGTTCCGTACCCATTTTCTACCGCCCGGATATCAGCGGCGGATGAGACGTGAGATACAAGGTCGACATCAACGACCCGGGGAAACGTTCCAGGCCTATTCAACGGCCGTATTGACCATGATGCGACGAGCCGGCGGATACACAACCCGAGACAAGGTCGAACAAATCTACGAGAATATGGACCCTGAGTACCAACTATACGTCCCGCTGACCGATCAGACCAGCCTCGGTGACCTGAGCACGAAGGCCGTCCAGTACGAGGCTATCATTCAGAGGCGAAGAGAGCGCAAGGCGGAGAGCCCCGCTCAGCCCAGGGCCACTATAGCCGCCGCCACATATAACCGAGAGGAGTGCTGCTGGCGCTGCAAACAACGGGGACACACTCGCCTAGAGTGCAAACGCCCCCCCAGAAAATTCTGCTCCCGATGCGGCAAGGACGGGGTACTTACCCGGGATTGTCATCCACCGTCGGGAAACGCCGCCCGGACCGGGAACGTAGCGGCCGTAGGCCGGTCCAGCACGGAATAGAGTACGACCCCAGGCCGCACCTACGCGTACAGATACGTCAAACAGAGGTCCGAGCCCTATTGGACTCCGGATCCGAAATGTCCTTCATGGACAAAGAAACCGCTCGACAACACCAGATACCGATTCAATCCCTCGGCACAGGCGGGAACACGGTGCGGCTGGCCGACGAGACCACCACAAACATCATCGGCACTGTCCGCCTAAGATTCCGAATCCAAGGGCGGCCCTGTCGCCACAGATTCGCGGTGCTGCCTAGACTCAGCAGCCCGATTCTGATAGGCATCGACCTGTGGGCTAAGCTGGGGATCGGCCTGACAACAACTAACACACGCCGGGCCACACAACGAACCACCGTAACGCCAACATCACCGCCTTGAGCACCGGAGCGACCGATGAGCACACCCGACTGCAAGCCTTCCTAGCCACCGAGTTGCCCCTCTTCGATACCATCCGGGGCCCCACCGATCGGGCCGAACATCACATCCGCCTGAAACCCGGCCCGCCAATCAAACAACGATACCGACCACGGAACCCGGCCATGCAACGAGTGATCGACCAGGAAGTCGAGGAAATGCTGAAAGAGGGGGTCATCGAACCCTCCGCAAGCGGATGGAGCTCGCCGGTAGTCATTGTCCGAAAGAAGGACGGAACTCACCGCTTCTGCATCGACTACCGGAAGCTCAACGCGGCATCCGAAAAAGACGCCTACCCGCTACCTCACATCACCGCCACACTCGATAAATTACGAGGGGCCCAATACTTGTCTACCCTCGATCTGAAAAGCGGGTATTGGCAGATTCCGCTAACCAAGGCAAGTCGGCCAGCTACAGCCTTCACCGTACCCGGCAAAGGGCTGTACCAGTTTACGGTCATGCCATTCGGCCTCCACTCCGCTCCGGCCACGTTCCAACGGCTCCTCGATACAGTCCTGGGCCCGGATTTGGAGCCCCACGTGTTGGTCTATTTAGACGACATCGTGATCGCCAGCCGTACGTTTGAAGATCACCTCCAACATCTGCGCGAGGTTTTCCGACGCTTGAGGGGTGCCAGACTACGCCTAAATATCGAAAAATGTCACTTCAGCCGAAGCAGCCTCAAGTACCTGGGACACGTTATCGACCGACGGGGCATCCAGACCGACCCGGGCAAGGTCAGCGCCATCACGGGGTGGCCCGTCCCCACCACGCTCCGTCGAGTCCGCCAGTTCTTGGGAATGGCCTCGTGGTACCGCAGGTTCATCCCCGAATTCTCCACCGTGGCCGCACCCCTCACGAACCTCACGAAGAAAAACGCGCGATGGGCCTGGGGAGAACTAGAAGAACAAGCCTTCCGACGGCTCAAGGAGGCTCTAACAACCGCGCCAGTGCTCGCCTGCCCGGACTTTAGTCACCCCTTCCTCTTACAAACGGACGCCAGCTCACACGGACTAGGGGCCGTCCTCACGCAGGAATTTGAGGAAGGAGAGCGCGTCATCGCTTACGCCAGCCGAACACTTAATCCCGCCGAACGCAATTACAGTGCCACCGAATTAGAGTGTCTAGCCGTAGTGTGGGGAATCCGGAGAATGCGAGACTACCTGGAGGGGTATCGGTTCACCGTAATCACGGACCACCAGGCGTTAAAGTGGCTACAGCAGCTCGAGGCTCCCACCGGTCGACTAGGCCGCTGGGTATTCGAGCTGCAACAATTCGACTTCGAGATCAAGTACCGTCGGGGGACACAGAACCAAGTAGCCGATGCGCTCTCGCGAGAACCACAGCTCAGCGCCATCATCAACCAACCAACATGTCCCTGGTACAACCGGATACGAGCCCAGGTAGAAGCGGAACCGGAGACCAGTCCAGACTACGAGATTCGCGATGGGCAGCTATATCGCCACGTACTGCACGACCTGGACTTCCGGCACACACCTCCGGGGAACAATGGAAGAGATGCGTGCCACGCGACCAACGATCCGAAGTCTTGCGGCGGCTACACGACGAGCCCACAGCGGGACACTTAGGGGTGGCCAAGACCATCGCCCGGGCCGCCCAGTTGTACTATTGGCCCGGTATGTTCCGGGAAATCGCGCGATACGTGCGCCGATGCCCAAACTGCCAGGCGTATAAAGTGTCGCAACGACGACCGGCCGGTCTCCTTCACGCCACCCCCGTCACGGCACCAGGACAGCAGGTCTCCGTAGATCTGGTGGGACCCTTGCCGAGATCCCGACGAGGACACACCTGGCTCCTTACGGCCCAGGACCGATTCAGCAAATGGCTGGAGCTTATTCCTCTCCGGAAGGCAACGGCGCGACAGTTGCCGAAGGAATCACCACGCGGGTCATCTATCGTCACGGCTGCCCCGCACAGATACACTCAGACAACGGAACGCAATTCACGTCCAGGGAATTCAAACAACTATTGGCAGAGTTCGGGATAGAGCATCGCACCTCCCCGGTATACGCACCCCATTGCAACCCGGTGGAACGAGCCAATAGAACCATAAAGACCATGCTCGCCCAGTACGCCGGAGAACACCACCAGGACTGGGATGGCCACCTGGACGCACTACAGTTCGCCATTAACACCGCCCGCCACGAGGCCACGGGATATACACCAGCATACATCACTCACGGAAGAGAGCTAGCCCGGCCTTACGTGGCGGACCGATTCGAACCGAACGAGCAAGAACCGGGGCAACGCAGCCGGCAGCTACAGGAGGCCTTCGAGCTTGTCCGCGTTCACCTGGCCCGCGCGTTCCAGAAACAGGAGAGGCACTATAATCTCCGACGCCGTGAATGGCGCCCGCAACCAGGAGACCAGGTGTGGAAACGAGACCGACATCTCTCACGGAAGAGCGAGGCGTTCAACGCGAAACTCGCCCCTAAGTTTAGCGGGCCAATGGAAGTTCGCCGCCTCATTTCACCAGTCATCGTAGACCTCCGGGATGCACGCGGCAAGTGGCACCGTCACGTGCATATCCAGGACCTGAAACCGGCCGAAGCGAGGGAAACAGCCGACGAATACGACGCAGGGAGTGACGACGAACGGCCTATCGGGGGGGCCATAAACCCCCAAGATAAGTATTAACCGACTATAGCCCTCACTATCCTGGCCAAACCACCGAAAAACTAACGACAAAAAATTGTTTACCGCATTCCAGCGCGCCCCCACCCCGTCGAATGGGATATATAGGGCAACACGAGCCGCACGATCGGCCTAGTCCTACGATGAGCTCGCCAAGGAACATGAACGACCTGTTCGGAGACCTCTCCTCCTCATCCGACGACAGCGGTGGAGGGTGGAAGCGGCGACCAACCCCCGCACCACCGACGCCGACACGAGTCGCACACGTGCCCCGGCCCGGGACGACCATCCAGCGGTCCGACAGGGAGACGAGACGACGGGCGATCATCCTCGCCACCCCGCCTCCCCCGAGGACGACCCGTCACGGGCCAGGGGTATTAATGGCGTTACGCCGCCAGGCCCGAGCGAACGCGCCGCGCCGATCACCCGCCGCGGCCGGGCAGCAGGGGCCTAACATCTCGACCCCCGCAGCCACCGAGTCCCGACCCGGGAACCTTGCCGCCGTCTCCGGCCGATCAGCGACCACCCGACCATCCGGCCCGCCTACGCTCGGACCCACGTCGACCCACCGCGCGCGCCCACCACCGCCGCACCCGCTGAACACCGCTGCGACACCGCCAGTGCAGGTGACGCTGGGGGACGGCACCGTGGTGGAGGTCCCCTTCCACGCCGCCACGATCAGCCGGAAGTATCGGCTACGTACGGCGACGGGGAAGTGGATCATCCGCTTCGACCGACAGGGTCGACCACGGGCCGTCCACCCCCTGCCTGCCACCCCCCTGTAAAAGGGGAGGGTGATGTAACGACCTATTAATGGTCGTTACTAAGTGCGCCGGGCCGAACACCTGCCCGACGCTCCTGGCCGACCATCCGCCGGGCGCGTGATCCATCCCCTCCGGCGGGATGCCCAACACGTGACAGTAAGCACGTGGGGGGACCCGCACCGGTATATAAGCCGGCTCGTCCGAAGAGCCGGCACCAGTCCTGTCCTGAATCCTGATCCTGACACCAAGCCTCTGGGTGTACTCGAGGCTTCCAAGACCAAGATTCCTGACAGTCGACGAAGACGGGTGTACCCTCTTCGCTGCCTGGGAGTTCCCGGCGTTCGACTTCCTTCTCTCCAACCGACGGAGGTGGGTTTAACCCCTTCGCTGCCTGGGAGTACCCGGCGTTCGGTTCCTTTCCCTCCAACCGACGGAGGTGGGTTTAACCCCTTCGCTGCCTGGGAGTACCCGGCGTTCGGTTCCTTTCTCTACGACCGACGAAGGTGGGTTTAACCCCTTCGTTGCCTGGGAGTGCCCGGCATTCGGTCTCCTGTGTCCGGCCGACGGAGGTGGGTTTGACCCCTTCGCTGCCTGGGGGTACCCGGCATTCGGCTCCTTCTCTCCGGTCGGCAGAGGCGGGCGTGCCCCCTCTGACGCCAGGGTGTACCCGGCATCCGACTCTCCCGCAGCGCGCCGTGCCGCCGCCCGCGGCCCCGCAAACGCGAGATCGTTCGTCCGTCCGCGCATTTATATATAAGTTTGTGTGACTGTCCGCTAGACTAAGTGTATATATCAAGTGTAAGTAATCATTGAATAAACCTTTTGTGACTTTGAAACCGTGTACGCAAGTTTGGCCTTCCGATTCCGAATCCTGGTTCCGGCGAGCCGTCCGAGGCTAACCGAAATCCGCACCGTTACAGTAATTTTAGTATATTAAATTTTATACATCTCCATCTTTAATGATTACGTTCTGTTCTGCCTTTATGATCATCTAATATCTTAAATATCAATTAAATAAAAATTGAATTTTCTTAAGTTTTATACTGTTACACAACAAAGTTTTCAGTCACAATATTATATGAAAAAAAATTTAATATTATTTCGCAATTAAAACTAAAATAATTAACACAATTAGAGACATGGTGTAATCAAACAATTAAATAAATTTTACGAGGGCTGAAAATTGGAGAGACTATTTGAGTAATGCTTCTTGACAGTCGGGAGTATCTTCAATATTTATATGTATTTATATGTATATTAGATTTTATACATCATACATAAAAATGATTACGTTCTGTTCTGCTTTTATATCATTCTAATATCTTAAATATCAATTAAATAATAAATAATATTTCTTAAGTTTTATACGGTTACACAACAAAGTTTTCAGTCACAATATTATATGAAAAAAATTCAATATTATTTCACAATTAAAACTAAAATAATTAACACAATTAGAGACATGGTGTAATCAAACAATTAAATAAATTTTACGAGGGCTGAAAAATTGGAGAGACTATTTGGAGTAATGCTTCTTGACAGTCGGGAGTATCTTCAATAATGAAAACTCTGCCAGACTACGTCGCGGATTTTTGCGGATACTCGCGAAATTTATGGCGTGGAATCTTTCAGTTCGCGTAACACAATCCTCGACAGGGTTCCGAAATATATTAGGAGTCGTACGTAGGGGTTGGAAGGGGGTGCGTGTTGTATGTGCCGCCGTTCGCCATACTGCCGCTACGCTCGACAGATAATAACCGAGTGTCTCGTATCTCTCTAATTACGAACGAAGGGCGTAGTGCTGTAGGGAGACCTCCCTTTTTGGCGATCCCGCCTCGCGCCGGATAAGAGATAAGCATCGATGAAGGTGCGAGATGCTAAAATCC